GGAGCGTTCCAAGGGTGCCTTATTGAAGACCGACGCTTCCCTGACCCCCGGAGCCATTGCAAGGAAGTGGAAAGATGTCTACGACTACTCTCAGCCGGAGTATCCTACCGGCCCCGCCGACTTCATGACCCTCCTGGAGAATGGCCTGAAGACTCCTAGCGCTCCCTCTGGAGAAGAGCCTGATCTGAAGGGCAAGGTTGCCCTCGTTACTGGTGGTGGTAATGGGTGCGTATTATCTGATTTTTTGATTTTTAAGGAACATAAGCTGATTTATCCAGTCTGGGCCGCTCGTACTGTCTTCTGTTCGCTAAGCTCGGTGCCTCCGTGGTCGTTAACGATCTGGTCGATCCCGAGCCTGTCGTCCAGGAGATCAAGAAGATGGGTGGAAAGGCCGTTGGCAACAAGGCCTCCTGCGAGGATGGCGACGCTGTCGTGAAGACTGCCATTGATGCTTTCGGTCGCATTGACATCTTGGTCAACAACGCCGGTATCCTCCGTGACAAGGCCTTCAACAACATGAACGATGATCTGTGGAACGCTGTCATCAACGTGCATCTGCGTGGTACTTATAAGGTGACCAAGGCCGCTTGGCCCTACATGCTCAAGCAAAAGTACGGTCGTATTGTCAACACCGCTAGCACCAGCGGTATCTACGGCAACTTTGGACAGGCCAACTATGCTGCCGCGGTAAGGCCTTCGCCGTTGACTGTAAAGCGTATCGGGTTGCTAATCCTAGTCTAGAAATTGGGTATCCTCGGTCTCTCCCGCGCTCTCGCCATTGAGGGTGCCAAGTACAACATCAAGGTCAACACCATTGCGCCCAACGCGGGTACCAACATGACCCGTACCATTATGCCTGAGGAGATGGTTCAGGCCTTCAAGCCCGACTATGTTGCCCCCATGGTCGCCCTTCTCTGCTCTGACATGTGCCCGGAGCCCAGCAGCAAGGGTCTCTACGAGTGCGGCAGCGGATGGTTCTCCAGTACTCGCTGGCAGCGCTCTGGCGGCCACGGATTCCCTGTGGACGTGAAGCTGACTCCCGAGGCTGTTCTCAAGCAGTGGAAGCAGATCACTAACTTCGATGATGGTCGTGCTGACCACCCCGAGGACAGCCAGGCTGGTACCGAGAAGGTGATGGCCAACATGTCCAACCGCAGTGGTGGTGAAGGTGGCAACGACATCCTTGCCAACATTGAGAAGGCCAAGCAGGCCACTACTGAGGGCACCGCTTTCGACTACGTCGACCGCGATGTCATCCTCTACAATCTCAGCGTTGGTGCCAAGCGCACTGACCTTCCTCTGGTGTACGAGAACAATGAACACTTCCAGGCTCTCCCCACTTTCGGTGTGATCCCCTGGTTCAACACTGCCACCCCCTGGAACATGGACGACATCGTCGCCAACTTCTCGCCCATGATGCTGCTGCATGGTGAGCAGTACATGGAAGTTCGCAAGTTCCCCATCCCTACCGAGGCCAAGACCTTGACATACCCCAAGCTCATCGACGTGGTCGACAAGGGTAAGGCCGCTCTCGTCGTTGCTGGATACACCACCAAGGATGCCAAGACCGGAGAGGAGCTGTTCTACAACGAGTCTACCGTCTTTATCCGTGGCAGCGGTGGCTTCGGTGGTTCCCCCAAGCCCACTGCTCCCCGCCCCAAGGGTGCCACGGCTGCTTACAACCCTCCCAAGCGCCAGCCTGATGTTGTGATCGAGGAGAAGACCTCTGAGGACCAGGCTGCTCTGTACCGTCTCAACGGTGACCGCAACCCTCTGCACATTGATCCCGAGTTCAGCAAGGTCGGTGGCTTCAAGACTCCCATCCTGCACGGACTGTGCTCGCTCGGTGTCTCTGGCAAGCACGTCTTCAACAAGTTCGGTGCGTTCAAGAGTCTGAAGGTTCGCTTCGCCGGTGTCGTGCTGCCCGGTCAAACCCTGAAGACGGAGATGTGGAAGGAAGGAAACACAGTCATCTTCCAGACCACTGTTGTGGAGACCGGCAAGCCCGCCATCCTGGGCGCTGGTGCCGAGTTGTTGGAGGGGGCCAAGGCCAAATTGTAAGATAAAAGCATACTGGGTTAATATGGTCTATCAGCTTTTGTATATAAATCATGATTTTCTGCCAACAGAAGCAATGCACTGATGTCTTGTTCACTGTCTGCTAAGCTCAAATTTGTAAGCGATCGTACGATACTTTTGAATATTCAAGTATATTATGGTATTCAATCAGACCCTCTGAGTCAATTGATATTTGCGTAGTCTTTTTAGAGTGAGTGATTAGTTGGCATAGTTGTTGGTGACAGGACGCCTAACGCTCGATTTCATGGTTATGTAACCTGCTCCCCATCAGCGCCGAGGACCACACCTCAACCTGACACAACTCACTCCCCGCAACCAGCACATCAACCATCAAATACGGATGCCACGGACCGTATCACTGCTAGGCAGTTGAGTTGAATCCGAATTGGATTTGATCGGCACAACGATCATGTAGCGGAGTTTCCGTCGTTGCCACGATGGTGCTCTCGCTACCTGTCCCAAGCTTCTCTAGATCCACCACGGCCTCCCCCGCGCTCCGGTCCAGCAACAGCAGCAGCAGCAATAGCAACAACCAATCCACGACCCTCAGCGAAGCACTCCGAAACAACCCATTCGGGAATACCTCTCGATCCCGCGCCATCGCAGCCCTGACATCGAACACCCAGGCCGAGAACGCGAAGCAGGAGCAGGAAGAGCTCAACGATGCGCTGGAGACACTAGCCCGCATCTTCCCAGACGTGAAGATCGAGGTCTTCCGCGAACTGCTCGTGCGGTTCGACGGACAGAGCAGGCTGCAGGTGTGCGTGGAGCAGCTGCTCCGGCATAAGAACGAATGGGTGGCTGGGCGGTGGAACGTCCCGACAGGGACCGGAGACGAAGGCGGGGATGGTGATGTTTCACGAGAACACGATGAGCATGTGGTGCCGCCCGAGGAACGATTCCGGAGCGACGAGTACAAAGCTTCTGTGAAGGGTGTGCTGGCGAAGGAGTTCAGCGGGCTGAGCAGGAGTACGGTGGAAGCGGTGCTGGCAGAGGCGAACTTTTGCTATATGCGGGCGCGGCCGACGCTGAAGGAGCTGTCGAGGCGGACCTGGCGGGCGACGCTCAATAATATTTTGCCTTCGTTCAAACGCAAGAAGGACAAGGACGAACATCCTCTGGTGGTATGGCAGCGGCGTGCGGATGGTGAGCTGGTGCCTAGGCTGAAGGAGACGGGATGCGTCGAGCTGGATAGGGAGTTATATGAGGCTCTGCTTGCGCCTTTGCTGCGAGTGAGACGGGAGGAACAGGAGGAGAAAGACTTCAAGTTGGCCGAGGAGCTCAATGAGCGCGAAGCACAGGCGGTTGAGGCGCTGTATGAGTGTGAGTGCTGTCTTGCCGACGTGACTTTTGAACAAATCTCCACTTGCTCGGTCGACTCGCATATAATTTGTTATAGCTGCATACAGAGGACTATCCACGAGGCTCTATTTGGGCAAGGATGGGGCAAGTCGGTGGACGTGGAGAGATCGACTTTGAAGTGTATCGCGCCGATTGCCCATGGTAGCTGCGAGGGCACCTTGGATCCTGAGACTGTCAAGCGAGCTATAATCATGGAAAAGGCTGGACTTGAGACTTACTGCAAATTCGAGACTCGGCTGGCTTCGGAGTCTCTGATGAAGTCGCAGTTGAAACTTGTCCGCTGTCCGTTCTGCTCTTACGCCGAGATTGATCCCGTTTACCATCCGACTTCCAAGGGGATAGCCTGGCACTTTCGTCGTGATGGGCTGTTGTCCACGATCTTGATGGCTGTCATACTCCTCGATATGGTACCTTTGCTGGCCATCCCGCTTATCATTTTATATCTACTGGATCCTACGGCTGTGCCGACTATCCTTAAGAATTCGCTTCTTAATCTGTGTCTCAAAGTTCGTCCGAAAAGATTCACATGTGCCAATCCTCTTTGCCGTCGCGTCAGTTGCATCACCTGCCAGAAACCGTGGCGTGATCCTCACATCTGTCATGAGCCCCTGTTGCTCGACCTTCGGGCTACTGTTGAGGCCGCGCGCACAGCTGCGGTGAAGCGCACGTGTCCTCGGTGTGGCTTATCCTTTGTCAAGTCGTCCGGCTGCAACAAATTGACCTGCGTCTGCGGATATTCCATGTGCTATCTCTGCCGCAAAGCCCTTGGGTCGTCCCTTCCGGCAGCGGGACAAGGTCGAGTTCCTCGCCTTGTAGCCGGAATCTTCAATCAAGAGAACATTGCACCGGCTGGGCAAGATCCTAACGACAATGACCGGAACGGCGTTGATGGAGAAGATGCGGAGGAGGGCTACAAGCACTTCTGCGAGCACTTCCGCATCAATCCAGGATCGAGATGTACAGAATGCAACAAATGCGATCTGTACCAGGCCGAAGACGAGGAGGCTGTAGCACGCCGAGCAGGCGAGCGGGCGGAACGTGAGTGGCGCGCACGACAGGGCGCCTCGGCCGCTGGGGTTGCGGTTGGGGCTCTCCAAGTCAACAACGATTTTTCAGCAGACACCCGCAGGAAATCCTGGGGGCTCCCGTTGCATCAGGGCAAGGGCTGGTCGTACTGGCTGAACGAGGTGTGGCATGACGGGCAGTGGAAGCTGGAAGGACAGGCTTTGGTGGACTGGGTGGTGGAGCAAGTGGTCGTTATTGATGAAATATGAATTTCGGCCTTGTTGCATCTGCCTACTATACATCTGGTAGGCGTTAGATTGTTTCGTTCAACCTGGGGCATGGGCATAGGCATGGGCATGGGCATGGGGCATGGATACACAAAAGGAGGTTGGGCCAGATTGTTTTGGATTTGACGACGTGACGAGGACACGACAGACGCTTACTACTCTTACCTCGATACCTTTTTCTCTGACTGAATTAATGGATGAGCTCGATTTTTCTAATTTACACTCTATCAACCCTAAAACCACAGTACAGTCAACTGGCACAGACATCTAGCAAGCGTTCTTCTCGTCGACCCTCTTCTTCGCCTCCTCCTTCAATTTCGCATCGTCGGCCCTATTCAACTCGACCTGCGGCATCAGCACAAACGCCAAACAGAACGCAAATGCTGCCAATGCGCCCCCGATCACGAAGATGATCCTAAAGCCCCGCTTATACGCCGGTACGACCAAGGCACGCACGCGCTCCGCTTCGTCCGCCGGAAGACTAGATAGAAAATTCTTCGGGCTGGACAGAAACGATCTTGTTTCTGAAGCCGTGAACCCGAGATTGGAGATCGAGGAGGAGAGGAGGTTGTTTCTGGCATGTGTTAGTTGTGGTTGCCCTGGCCCATGTAGATGTGGATGGCATGGCGTCTTACATGATTGTTCCGGCGACAGCTAGGCCGAGTGTACCACCTAAGTTTCTGACGAAGCTGAGCAGAGTCAGTGTGGCTTTCTTGGCTACAGTTGAAAGAGAGGAGATACTTTCGGAACGATGTTACGACGGCCATCTCGCGGCGTTCGACGCCGGCTTGGATTGCGATGAGGGCTCTGTGATGGTCATTAGTGAGGCAGTGAGAATGGGTGCAGGTGAGCGTACGGCTGCAGGGTGTTGCCCACACCCACACCAGTCAATATCCCATAGCCGATCTGCTTCCCCAGGCCGGAGGACTGATCCAGCGTTGAGAAGAGGCCTAGTCCGACGGCCCAGATCATCCAGCCGAACAGGATACATTCCCTGTACCGGCCTATCCAGTGCACGACGAGCCCGGAGGCGGTACTACTGGCCGCTACATCTATCAGCTGGTGTCTGTCTGCAAGGAGAGGAGAGGACATAGAGGACATACTCTGCATCAGCGTGATGGGCAGCAACATCGCGCCGGCCTTGACGGTCGAATACCCAAAGACCAGCTGGTAGAAGGTCGGGATATAGTACACCTGGACCAGGAAATTCCACCCATTGACAAACATCGTCAGACACGCGCCGTTGACGATCCGCGAGCGGAAGATATGCATCGGGACGAGCGGGAACGCCGCCCCCTTCCACTGCCAGAGCACGAACGCCACGCAAACTGCCACGCCCACCACAAGCGTAGCAACCACATGCGCTGAAGCCCAGGCATACTCGCCTCCGCCCCAGTTCAGGCCCAGCAGGAGCACGGCCGTCCCGCCGAGCGCCAGCGCCGCGCCGACGAAATCCACCGCCGCAAGCTTCACCTTCCACGCCCCGGATACCTTGCGCAGGGGCATGAAGAAGAACACGCACAGCGTCGTGAGCACCGTGAGCGGGAGGTTCAGGCGGAAGATCCACCGCCACGACTCGTTCTCGATCGATGCGGACGCGAGCGCGCCTCCGATTACGGGTCCGATGCCGTTTGCGAGCGCGACCACCGCGCCCAAAATACCCTGGTACTTACCTCTCTCGCGCAGCGGGACCACGTCGCTGACGATCATCTGGGCGACACTCATGAGGCCGCCGCCGCCGATGCCGGTGAAGGCGCGGAAGATGATGAGCTGGGTGGCTGTTTGGGCGAGCGAGGCGGCCAGCGAGCCGAAGAAGAAGATGGCGAGACCGGCGAAGAGGACGTATTTGCGGGACCAGATGTCGGAGAGGCGGCCATAGAGCAGTTGGAAGCAGGTGGATGTACTGCGGTCATTAGCGAGACGCAGGACTTATATAAGGAGTCAACGTACACGAAATAGGCGCCGGAGATCCAGGACGTCTGGTCGCTGGCGTTCAGGGCGTTGCCGACGATGGACAAACTGGCCGCGAGGGTCGTTTGGTCCATCAAGGCGACGAGATCAACCGTCGAGCATGCGAGGAAGATCTGCTTGTCTTAGATTTGTGGCTCATATTGTGGTGATGATACTCACTGTGATGATGGTACTCCTGGGGACATAGTTTGTCTGCTCGTTGAAGACATGTTGTCCTGCTGCTTTGGTCTCTGCGCCCTCTGTCACCTCTACAACTGTTCCAGAGGAGCTCGGGGGTGTAGACTCCTGTTGCTGAGAACTGATCACTGTGTCTGGCATTGTAGTTTGCTACGTCTCCAATCAACCAGGGAGCTGACCAGGAAGTCTACAGCGGGAATGGGAATTGAGTTTTAAAGTTGGAATGCACCACGAGGGCGACGATGATCAGACTCGTGCATTGCGTGCCAAAGACCCTGATTATTCTCCGAGGACCCGTGAGTCATTTCATTTTGTGAGGAAATGCACCTGCCGTGATTGAGAATAATGATGGGCGGGTCGATCTGCAGCATCAAGACGCCATCTCGCACTAAAAGGGAAAATGTGCGCAAAAACACTCACCCAAGGTCCCCGTGCATGATTTTAATTAATCTTACTCTATTTGATAGTGGGTAGGCTATATGAGATGCAGAACACGGTGCACAGTTAATTCATTGTGTTATTGAGGGGGATCACTACAGGAATTCCTCATACCTTGGAGGTGCCAACACTCTAGACGGGTCTGTTGCCTGCTCTACACTAAGAATCATGGAAGTGACATTGATTAGTGTAATAGAATCCGCCGATGTTGCATCTACGGCCTCCAGGTCCTCCTTCTTGGGTCCGTCACGGTAATTGTAGGCGATCATCAGCCTCCAAGGTAGTCTGGGCATCTCCCGAGAGAGGAGACTGCAGAGATCAGCCTCACGTTTCAGGAAATAGCTCATTCCAGAGCAGAATATGCTCAGATGGACCTGCTCCTTCTGGCCGCAAGTGCCTCCTCGGCTGGTGGGCCATTCTGCTTTTGGGCAAGTTGCATTTTTGTCACTGGAGAAGAGGCCTGCGGTATAAAGCGGCAGGCCTCTGCGTCTGCATCTGCGTCTTATGCTCTGTTTGGCGTTTATATCCGTTCTCAGTAGCATAAGATGGCTGCAAACGAGCTGAACGTCTACAGGGGCCCTGATGCCCTCAGGAAGTACTTTGACCCCGATTGTCAGCCTCCTCTACCCCTGGTGGAGGTTCCTGAGTACCTGAATCCGTACCATCAAGATGGGGTGCGCCTCTACGCCAAAATGATGTCGATGCATCCTGCCAACAACGTCAAGGCAATGCCTGGTGAGCGTCCTGTGAGAATCGTAATAGCTACCGACTAACGAAATGGCAGCATTAAATATGCTTGAGAAGAAAGTCGTCCCGGGCAAAACCAAGACCATCATCGAGTATAGTTCCGGGTCAACGGTGATCTCCATGTCGATGATCGCGCGCGTCATGCACGGCATCCACGACACACGAGCCTTCCTAAGCAACAAGACCAGCGACGCTAAGCTGAAACTCATGCAGTTCTTCGGCCTGGACATCACCCTCTTCGGCGGACCGAGCCAGCCTGAACCGTTTGACGACCGCGGCGGGATCCAGAACGCCCGCAAGATGGGTCTGGAGTCCGACGAGATCCTCAACCCCAACCAGTACGAAAACCATGATAACTGGGGCTCGCATGTACGCTGGACAGGACCGCAGATTCTCAGGCAGCTCCCCGAGATCAATGTGCTCTGCGCTGGGATGGGCACGTCTGGCACTATGACCGGTCTGGGGACGTTTTTCAAGGAGAACAAGCCGTCGGTGTTGCGGCTGGGGGTGTGCACGGCGGCTGGGGACCGAGTCCCGGGTCCGCGGTCGTTGGCGCTCCTGAAGCCGGTTGAGTTTCCTTGGAGAGAGGCGGTTGATGCCATTGAGGAAGTCAATTCGTACGATTCCTTCTCGCTGTCGCTGGATCTGTGCCGCGAGGGGATCGTCTGTGGCCCGTCGTCGGGGTTCAATCTACAGGGATTGTTTCAGCTGTTGGAGAAACGCAAGCAGGCCGGGACGCTGGCTGAGCTAGCTGGGCCGGATGGCCTGGTCCACTCTGTGTTTATCTGCTGCGACCTACCCTACCAGTACATCGGCGAGTACTTTTCCAAACTGGGGGCGGAGAAATTCCATCCCATCAAGAACGAGGTAAGTGCCCTATCTTCTGATTGACACCCCGAGTCACCGACTAAGCGTCGCAGAATCTCAGCGGAGTCGACATCTATCGCTACGACGAGAGCTGGGAACGAAGCCCCATCGTCCTCTTCACGCATTTCTACGAGACTCCCCGCTCGCTCTCGGACAGTCTTCTGCGCAACATCGAGCTCAGACCACTCTGCTGCGTTCTGGATCTGAGAACAGCGGCAGATTACTCCACCTGGCATCTGCCTGGTTCAGTCAACATCCCCCTTCGCAGCCTGGACTCGCACACTCCCAAGCCATTCGCGGATCCCAGCGTGCTGGAAGCGCAATGGTTAGAGCTCGAGACTTTGTTCAAGGCGGAGGAGGCTCTGAGCAAGCTCCGTGGCCACCATGTCTTGGTCATTTGCTACCACGGTGATACGGCCCGGGTGGCCACCAGCGTACTGCGAGCCAAGGGCATTGAGGCCGATAGTCTGAGAGGAGGGTATCAAGCTCTGAGGGATCATGGGCTGTGGGGAGAGAACGAAGTGAGCACTGTCACAGGCACAGAGCATATGAAATCGTCGATTTCTGTTGAGACTGTCCCGTTGCAAGTGKGTTGATGATATATGCTGTACCTGGTACCTTGGTAGTATGACTATGACTAGTGATTATGAGATTATGCCATCATGTTTTCATTTTCTTTTTCCATACTTCCATGTTTTCGCTTTTCCTGTAAGTTAAGGTTGATGCGTGGTGTACCCCGTAGTCTGCAACCAACCCACGGATTCAGCGCAAATCTGCTCATAGAGCCATAGGGCAATTACCAGGATTAAATAAGGGAAATGTTATCTGAAGCGAAGAAAAAACAAAGATGGTCCACCCTCGACGCTAACAGGCTGGAAATGTGCTCAATTGTGAGCATGTCTGGACCAATCAGCAACCAGCATTTACAGCCCTGAAGCATACATCTATACTAGGTAATTTGAGGACCTTTACGTGACTCTTATAGTGACTCTAGTATGATCCAGGAAGTAAACTAAACAATAGTATGGCTCTGGTCAGCTGTTAGCGTTCCTCTCTGTCTGGCAATTGCACCACTGCCATCTGCAGAGTTTGTTCTCGTCCTCTGTTTAAATCTCGCCCAAGTCAAGATCATCTCCCTCCCAACTGACACAGAGCAGATCGAGGTATCACGACTGCAGGATCTACTGTCGTGATCGTCTTTGACTACACAAGATGATGGACATGTCCGGAGGAGGCTCCGGCCTTCCATGGCTCGACCAGCCTGTGATGCTTCATTCTTCCAGAAAAGACACCTGCACATTGAGTCCGGAGCAGTGCGCGTACCGTCGCGGCCACTGGCGATACTGGTATCTATCTACCTTCTGTTGTCGTTTCAGTCGTCTAATGGGTATCCAGGTACGAAGCGGATCATGTCTACGCCTTGAACACCGTCTACTTCATGTGTGCGACTATCGGAGTCTTCGCCATAGCTCACTTCCTCTCCCGGCGGGCTCCTCTGCCCTTGAAACGCAGTGCTCTCTGGCGGAAGACGACGGCTGCCATGCGCTATCTCTCCTATCAGGGATACCAGGTACCATCCTTGCGGTACTGGTCGCCGTCTCTGGGTGTGATGCTCCTCGGGCTGGTGGGATTTGTTTTCTTCTTCGGTTAGTCTTTGCTAGGTGTGCTTCTTGACTCCCTGCTGACATGGATAGCCATGACCCTTGGCCCGAAGCCATACTACTGGCCTAATACGGCTAAAGTCTCCTATGGAAGTAGTCCGCCGATCGCGACGAGAACGGGGTGGATGGCCTTGGGCCTTCTTCCTTTTGTGCTGTGAGTACAAGGGCACAAGTTGTTGGCGGACTTGACTGACTGTGTAGGATCCTGGGAACAAAAGCGAATCTCATCTCGGTGTTGACGGGTGTACCGCATGAAAAGCTTCAGGTCTTCCATCACTGGGCCAGCTACGCCATGTTCGTCCTGGCGTTGATCCACACCTTTCCCTTCATCATCGTCCATATCGACAAGGGCGATATGGTCAAGCAGTGGAAGACGTCGCTCACCTACTGGACTGGAGTTGCGGCGCTGATTCCCCAGGCGTATTTGACCGTCATGTCCTTGCCAGCTATCCGGTGAGTCTGAATACTTTGTCTCGGACGAAATCTCAGCCCTAACGACTGTAGAAACCGATACTACGAGTTCTTCAAGGCGACGCATGTCACCGTGGCACTGCTCTTCGTCCTCTTCTTCTTCTTCCACTGCGACTTTCGGCTCACATCTTGGTACGTATGCCCCATCACCTGTATGCCAATGCTAACGTGGCCGGCCAGGGACTACTTCATCGCCGGCGGCGCCCTCTACCTCTTCAGTCTCTGCGCAGCATACGTCCGCACCACCCTCCTCCACGGCCGCCACAAAGCCACCCTCGACGTCCTCCCATGCGGCCTGGTCCGCATCAAGATCCCCACCTTCATAACCTGGTCCCCAGGCCAACACATCTTCCTCCGGTTCCTAAATCCCTCCCAGCTCGGCCTGCACTCTCTAACCGCCCACCCGTTCACCATCACCTCCATCGCCCACAACCCAGCCTCCCTGCCTAAACCCAACGAACTAGTCTTCTACATCAAACCCCGCGGAGGGATCACAGCTCGACTCGCCAGCCTCGCCGCACAGCGCCCAGGCACCGAGCGCACCGTGCTGCTCGAAGGTCCCTACGGCGGCCTCGCTGCATCCAACGACCTCGCAAGATTCGACTCTGTCCTTGTCATCTCTGGTGGCTCAGGCGGCGGTTTCTCGCTAGGTATCGTGGACGCGGTCCTGGCCTCCTCCCCAACCCCAGCTCTACAGATAATCTTCGCAACGCGCAATCAGTCAATGGCAGAGTGGTACATCGAGGAAATCGAGACCCGCATCTCAACCTCCAATGCCTCCAGCAGAGGCGGGGACGCCTCCGCCTCGGTTTACGTTACCTCTGCGCAGCAGGAGCAACAGGAACAGCAAGAAGACGACGAGAGCAAACTCCCCTCCACCAAACCTCTCACCAGCAGCATGTCGCAGATCGCAGTAACACACGGCCCCCGGCCGGACCTGCCTGCCTTCATTGCGGGCTGTACGTCTCCATCCAGCGCGAAAGGTAAGCGTGTAGGCGTCTTCGTCTGCGGTCCGGCGAGCATGCTGCACGATGTGCGGAATGCGGCTGCGCGGGCGCAGCGGGATGTCCTGGGGGATGGGGCGGAGGAGGTATACCTCCACCTAGAGCCTTTTTCGTAAGTTCCTGCTGCTGGCATTAACATTGACAACTTGCTGACATGCCCAGATGGTAATCACTGCATTGCGGTAGCGGAGACGTGATAGCTCTATATCTATCTAATTAGCCAAAATCAATCATTATCAGCTGTATACACATCATGACATGACACGGGCTATACAATCCCGAATCTAACCCAGAACATTAAAATGAATCTATCCAACACAACGCCAACGCCAATGCCGAGCATAAGCTCAAATAACCTCAAGAGGCAGAAGCAGAAGACAAGCTCCGCATCAACCCATCCCTCATCCTAACATTCACCACACCCCCAACCCCATAAGCAGGCACAATCTTCCCCATCCGCGCAAAACAACTCGCCACATAATCCCTCCTGATCCGCCCCACTCTCTCCCTCCACCCCAGCCCACCAGCAGGCTGCCGATTATACAGATCCAAGCCCAGCAAATGCATCGGCGTGCTCACAAACTGCATCAGCGCCGGACACGCAAACTGCGCCAGCGCAGCCTTCGTCCCCGGCGTAGCCGCAATCCCATCCGGAATGCTCGGCGCCAGTAGCGCAGGCACATTAAACGACGCGAAGATGGTGATGCTATCCCGTAGACAGAAGAGTCCGTAGCTCACCTTTGGGACCTTTAGAGCTGAGCTGCTGGATGGGTGGCATGTTGCTTGTCCTCCTCCTCCGCCGGAGGCGACACCGACACCACCTCCGGGTGTGGTAGACGTAGATGGGGCGCTGCTGGCACCAAAAATCCTCGCGAACCGCGCATCCTTGTACACGCATATTCCCATATTCACAGCCGTGGTCGTCAGGAACTTGGCCGTGCCGGGGAAGACAGTCTCAAAGGGCTTATCGCGGAGCGTGGAGGTCAGGGTATCGATTGCGTTGGCGGTGAGGTACGTCGAGGTGTAGAGGGTGTATATCAATAAAAACGGGGTGCTTGTGAGAAACGCCACGGGGCGGGTGAGCATCGACCGGAAGCAGGAGGCGAGGGTGCTGCGGATGGGGAGGCCCTTGGCGGCTTTTTCGATGATGGCTCTGATCGTTCATATCATTAGTTGCGGCATGTATAGGACACGGACAAGGGGGAATACCGATCGATGACGGTGATGACGGGACAGGTTAGGGCGCCTGCTGTCATTGCGCTGGCGATGTCTACGCCGAGGCGCATGCCTAGCTTGTCTGTGTTCCATTTTGATGTGGATGGAGCTGAGGCTTTCAAGGGCCGTTCTGCGGCTGGACCTGGTATGGTGACGGGGCCATCTGGGGAGAGGGCATTCCGTGGCATAATCTGCTGTAACTCGGTTGATTGTAAGGCGGAGTAAACAGTGAGGCGTCAGCACAAGCAGGTCTGTAACGGAGATACGCGTAGACGACAGAGATTTGAGTCAATCAATTACAAACAGCCATCTGATACTCAATATCGCCAGCGATTGCATCCTGACTGATCTGGGGGGAACAATTACGCTGATGACTCTGACTGCATCGCGGACGAGAATGCCCCGGGCCCGATACATTCGGCGTGTCCTCCGATGCCGGCTGCCGGTTGCCGAAGTGCAATCACCCAGTGTGAGACTCAATTTTAAGATCACATAGGTCTACAATCTACAATGAATATCGCACTTTAGAATAACCAGATTTATTTTCTGTAATAACCGAGATATATTTTGTAAACCTCAACGCCAATGATATCGCCCGAAATTGAACATGAGACCGTACCCGCTATTGCTATTTGCAAACTTCATGCAGAGTTAGATGATTCACTGGGTACGTTCGCTTCGAATCCATCCAGAGTAATGTTGACTGCACCGGCTTGAACGAGCTATTGCACACATAATTAGTATTGGAAAAGTGCAGAAGTGCAAGTAAAGAGGACTTACAGCCCGCCGCAAATCGTCAATGAGATCGTCTACATCCTCAATACCAACACACAGCCGGATCAAATCTTCCGGCATCGCTCGCTCCTGTCGTGTCTTTGCATCAATACTGGCATGGCTCATCCGACAGGGCATGCTGATCAGACTGTTGACACAGCCGAAGCTGACACTGATAGCCCACAGCTTGGCGCTCTCGACGATGCGCTCGCTGACGCCGACATCGCCAGTCTCAAACGACAGCACCGCCCCGGCGCCCCGCGCCATGGAGTGGTGCAGCTCGTACTGCGGGTGAGACCGCAGCCCGGGGTAGCGGACTTTGAACCCATGGGATTCGAGAAACTCGGCAATGCGCTGCGCGTTGGATTGCTGCTGGTCCATCCGCACCTTGAGCGTCTTGACACCACGCATCAACAGCCACGAGTCAAAGGGAGACAGGCCGCATCCGGACGCGTTGATGGGGAAGTACAGCCGCTCCCCAAGAGCAAGGTCGTTCACGGCAATCACACCGGCCATGAGATCGTGATGACCAGACAGGTACTTGGTTCCACTTTCATAAACAATATCCGCGCCGAGCTCCAGAGGGTTCAACAGCAGCGGAGACATCATAGTGTTGTCTACCGCCACCAAGCAACTCGGGTTGATCTCATGCGCCGCCGTGGCAATCCGGGGGATATCGACGATCTTGATGAGGGGATTGGTTGGCGTCTCGAGCAAGACCATGGCTGTCTTCGGACTCAACACCTCGCGAACTTTCTCCGGCTGCGTTGTATCTACATGGTGGACGATGATGCCGCCGTTGGTCGACAGATATTTCAAAAGACGATTCGTGCCGCCGTAGAGGTCGTCACCAGTCACCACCTCGTCACCGGGACGAAGCAGGCGGGAGATCACATCCAAAGCAGCCATACCGGATGAAACAACTAGAGCGCGCTGCGCGGACATGATCTTGGCGAGGTGTCGTTCGAGGTGAGTTCTGGTGGGATTTCCGGAGCGAGTGTAGTCATATTCTCCGCCGCCGCCGCCCGAGGTCTGCTTAAACGTGGCGCTCTGCTTCAATCAGTACACTCTCGTCGGATGGATTGCGTGCATAGAAAGACGCACCTGGTAGATAGGGACGCTGCTGGCATTGTACTGGTCGTTGCTGTCGGTATATACAAGTTCTGTGGCAATTGCATATCGCTTGCCTGTCCGAGGACTGGAGGGAGCAGGAGACGGAGGGAGATTGTGTCCGTCAAGGTCAACGTGAGGGAATGCCTTCTTCTTAGCATCGGTGGCCGCAGGAGCAGCACCAGAACCCGAGGCCGACATCGCTTGCGGGGCGGGAAAGTAGCGGGGAAGTAAGGAATGTAGAATTGATCGGGAAGATGGAAACACTCAAACCATAGGAAACAACTGAGACTCTGGAGAATTGATATAGCAGTCACACTGTCAAATATCAAAGATCAAAGAACAAGGGATAAAAAGGAATGGATGGAAAAGAAGGGAGACCAACGACTGGAACTAAGACTGGGGAATCTCCAGAAGAGTCAGACGAGCGGATTGTTGCTTGCCGTAGCGGGAAAGGCTGCTTCGGCATCGCTGCCCTGTGATTGGCTGCCGTCCGCTGTCCGCGATTTCGTCATCGACTATTCCATTTGAGGCTTAGCGTGCTGACTCATAGTCAATGCCTGAGGCATACTGTCTTCCAAAACAACATTCAAAGCCATCGGCCATTCGCTATAGCATTAAATAGGCATCGGCACATGCGAGTATATACATATGTCAATTCCGCGTAATCCATCCTTCCCATCGTACTCCTTATACCGTTTGAACCTGGCTCCGTCGCAGTGGATCTGCAGACAGCACCATCGGAACCACAGCAAATGTGTCAAATTAGGCAGATATGGCTTTGCAGGAGAAAGCAGAGAAAGAATCATAAAGTCACTACGGCAATGGCTGCAAGATGCACAGCCAGAAAATCGATGTTATACACGTCGCAAAATCAAGTCATACATCGCCTGTGAGAAATCAGCGGTGTCATGTTGCCATTTCTCCGAAGCTCCCGTTGATGCCGAAGAATTGGAACCTAAGAACAGCTAAAGTCAGTAATGTCATCTCAGGCATTCTCGATAGAAACATACCAGTCTTCGACGTTCAGCGTCGTGGGAGCCGTTGGTCCACTTCGTGAACTGCTACTCCAGTTGTCATCCTGACTAGTATTGTCCATTCCAGCGGCATTCAACGGCGCCTCTAAGCCTTGCATGGGCCATCCATGCTGATTTTCCAATCCAAACATTTGCTGTGGCTGGCCACCTTGCAGGCCCATTCCCGGTGGCAGGCCCGACATCAGCTCCGGGCTGGACAGGTTACGTCCCTGCATCTGCGGCGTTTGGTTCACCACCATGTGACGTTGCTGCATACCCTGTGATTGTAATTGCGATTGCATCTGTAGTTGCGGGTCGACAGTATGGTTCTGCGGAGATGCCAACTCGGGGAATATGGCCGTGCCATCAGGGAACAACTGGTCTGGCTGGAAGTTCTCCCAGAGAGACGGAGAGAGGTTGGGCGAAGTACGGGTGACAAGGAAAAGATCTGGAGGCGTTGCAGGTAGCGAGAAGTGACCATTGAAGGGCGTTGTCGGTCGAGTATTGCTTCGGGAATTGCCTGGCAATGTATTTTGAGGGGCGGTAGGGGACCCTTGCGGCACGCTGATCCCAGGAGGTTGCCCCAGTTCTCTGGACGGTGTGACGGCAGGTGTCTGTGGTCGAGATCGTTCGTACGAAACCGGAGGTGTAGGACCCCCATTTGGCAGACCAAGATCCATGTCGTCGAATTTCCGCTTCGGCGGATCCGGCCTCTTCGCAGGATGCTGTTGCGTCGTCTCGGGCCGTACCCTCTGGTGTCTCTTGCCAGCAGCTTTTTGAAGACGTTCTTCGAGAACTTTGTTGCCCAAGATCGACTCGAACAGCGTATGGACCATCTTCGCCACCAACCAGACCTTGGACACGTCTTTCAAAGCTTGCATACAGATGTTGATTCTCTCCTGGCACGTCGCCACAATAGATGGTACTGATGACCGCATTTGGTAGACGTGCATGATCAACGCCGAGAACAAGCTATAGACTCTGTTGACAATTAGCAGGTGGCAGTAACGATCATTCAAAGGGAAAGACCCACATGAACGCAGGAGCATATCGGATTTCTTGATGTGTCTGTAGATTTTCGATGATAGAGGTAATCATCCCTGCGGCTTGGAAGGCAATAGTACGCGACGGATACGCCATCTCCTCTACACGGTAGCTGTTTGGCGCTGACGAAGCAGGAGGCATGTGTGCTCGATGCAGGAGACACAGGGTGGTGCTTTGTTCATTAGCCATGGCCTTCCAAAGATGAGATGTGCTTTTGCACTCACTAGTAGTTCGCATGAAGAAGAGCTGCCAAAAAATTATGCCGGGACTTTTGCCAGCATACCTCCTTTGGGCAATTCTGAAGCCAGTCTGCCAGAGCCATATCTGAATGCGTCAAGTCCATGGCATTCATCCTCCGAGATTTAGACGCCACGGAGTATTGTTGAGACAGCACCAGGCCCATGATCTCGCACAGCTTGACATATTGAAGGAAGAACTGTACGTGTACAGGGTCGGGAGGGTACTCGGCGACGCTGTCGATCTCGTCCTCAATGAAATCGTCCTCGGTCAACATGCCCACGTCTGAGTCGTCGGTGTTGATTCCGATAGGCCGACCGAGGGCAACTGCTACGGATCGGTCCCTGGTGAAGAGAGTCCACCAAATGCGCTTCCATAATCGCTTGTCTGGCTTGCTGAGTTGAGATGTTTCCACGCTGCGATCGTAAGTCACTGAGCCGAAGATACGAAAGGGAAAGAAGGTCATACCTTCGATGCATGCCGGAGCCTTGTGCGACGACCATTGCAACTCTTGTCCAGTAGAAGACGTTCTTTGTCACGTCTGTAGGGAGTTAGAACAGGCCGACACTCAGGCAAAGCGAACAAACAAACCTTCGGGACCTTCCCAGTACCAGCCTAGGAGAACAAGGGCCTGAACAATCGTGACGCGGTCGTCTTCGTAATTAGCATCATAAAGTGCTTTCGCCCGTTTATAGAATGTCATTGCGGCGGGCGTGGTGGAGCCGTTCGCATCCATAAGTTGGGGATTCGTGCAAACCCTCGAGCCAGCGAGAAGGATGGCCTGCAATAGAAGCAAAGAAGGTGGGTTCTTCGGATCGCGATATTGTCGCATAAAACGACTGCGATTGACGATCGGAACGATAGGTGCGACCCATTTGAAATAAGCTTCGACAAGCTCGTCACAGAGGGGTTTGGGAGGGAGTAGGAAAGCGCCACGCTGATGGAGAATGTCGAGTTCGAGGTTGTCGAGGTCCGTCAACCGAGCACGCGATCCTCTAGCGTTAGGC